ATAGATAGATAGATAGATAGATAGATAGATAGATAGATAGATAGATAGATAGATAATCAGACAAAGGGAGAGAAAGAAAGTACAGGGAATAAGAGAAAGAGGGAAGGGGGAGACAGAGAGAAAGAGTAGGCTAGCGATGAAACGAAAGAACAAAACACAATAGAGTAAAAAAAAAAAAAAAAGAAAGAAAGAAAAAAGAAACTCAGAACACCGCATGCTCTTCGACAAACGCGACAGGTGATAGGAAGCAGGCTAGGCCGAGGAAAGACAGAGTGTAGATCTGTTGTGCGCAGCTCGGTACGCAAGGAGAGTAGAACTAGAAACAATATGTGATGAGGCATCGCAGTGAAATCAGGCGCTCGTCAAAATAATGAAATCGAAGGAACTAGCATTGTTCCGACAGTTGTTTGTCCCTTTTCATGTAATTCCTGTTTCTTGGTTGAACATCTTTTATGTCCGTATAAAGATACATTTCGGTGTGAATTTTACCGAAAAACATAGATTAAAGGCGCAGAATGTGTAAATTTCCAGTTTTTTAAATGACTTTCAAGCTATTGAAATGATCAAACTTTGACAGCCATTCTCTCGTTTATTTTTCCTCTGAAACCAGGCGACCCCAACTAATTCGATTACAAATATCTCAACTTCTATTCAAGATAGATGGGTATTTCTTTCACCAAATGCAAAACAAATGAGCAAGCTTTATGATGATTATAATAACTCTATATGCCGAACGATTAACGAGCGTCTCGTTTCACCACGTCGTGATACATACGGTCTTCAGGAAGAGCCAGATTTACGCCTCCCTCCGAACCTCGTGGTTTGTTTGTTTGTTTCCAGTTTTGTTTGTGTTCGAGTTTATCGTCCAGATGGATACAGATCAAAACTTTGGTGGAAATGATTCTCTTTTTTATTTTCGTGTATTTTTTTGGGCGGTAGGGGGTAGGGGGAAGGGGGAAGGGAGGGAATACATGTACTTTTTTGTCTGTGCAAAGGTCAAAACACGGGGAGAAAGAAAGCGAGGAAGGTTTTTTTTTTCTTTCCTTGTTTTTTTTTTT